AGCATTCATATCTTCCTTCATCGCCGCCGGTCATCACTTTGTCAGCATCATCTCACAACTTCACACGCCATCTCGTCGCTTCATCCACAGAATCGCACAATTTTCTTGCTGTTATTCATCATGAAGTTCAGCAGCCAAGTTTTAGGTTTTGATGACTTGAATAGCGGTGGGGAGGAGCTCCAATCAGAAAAAGCAGATCTCAATTTGCAGCGTGTGGAAAGGGCCAACAATCCAACTATTTGGTATAAGAATTGTTTGGGCTGACCCGATTATTGAACAAGAATAAGAAGGGGAAAAAAAAAAATGATCTAACCCAAACCCCAAAAGCGGATCCAATCCAAATTTTAATCCTACCATATGGGTTAAGTATGGATCAGCTCCATACCCATCACAATAGTCAACAACAGTTCTGTCATTGTGCTTTCAAGCGCAACAGCGGTAATCCCGCACCTTTAACACGTGTCGGATCTTTATAGGTACGCCACCGTACTGCAAAGCGCCCCAATGTGTTGGATCTTTGGATACCTCATCAGATAACTCGTTTAGAGAAGTCCCGCTAAGGGATGCCCCAAAAAGGGAAGCCTCATTGGAAACCCAACGAGATGCCTCATTTAGAGAAACCCGCCAAGGGATGCCCCGTAAAGGGAAGCCTCATTAGAAACCCAACGAAATGCCTCATTCAAAGATGCTCAACATGTCTGATTAGCTCCGTCACCGCACCACCATGCGCCTCAAGTGGTAATCCCACTCTTCCATGTGCAAAAGCAATAATCCCGCACCTCAACGTGTCGGATCAGCTCCGTCACCGCGCCATCAGTGGTCATCATGCGTTTTGCAAAGCGCCATCAACGTGGTGAATCTTCACAAATTCGTCACCCATCAGTTTATCGTAGTTACCACCGGTGATGGCACTACCAACACCATCCCGGCTGTAGTCAACCTTCAAACTCACGCTCCGCACCTACCTCCAAGATCTTCACAAATCTTCACAGATCCACCCCACATCACATGACATATCAACATCATTGGAACGTCAAACACATTCTGCAACGGTGCCAGTAGTTGTGCCACGTCAATTGCCACGCAACAGAGGTTCCTACAGTAGTGCCAAGTCACCTGCCACTTCAGTTGCCATGTCATCAACCACGTTAGCATCAGTGCCATGCCAGCTACATCAAGGTGAAAACAGTTTTCTCTACCAAATCTTCTGAGCCACTTTTATGATCTCGTCTCCAAACTCAAGCTGGTTTCATACTTACCTTGAGTTTAAGGAGGTTGTTAGATTATATTGTCTATTGTATATTTGGATTAGGGTTAGCTGTCTTCACCTACTCTCATTATCGTATATACCATTACCATATATAGGGGTTCTCCACACATGTCCTCTCCTATATAAACCCCTCTGTACTCTTACATTGTTACTACAATATAATATACAGTTTCTCTCTCTCTCTCTCTCTCTCTCTTCTAACAGATACCATGTTAAAAATAAATAGAGAAACAAAGAATGAAGAACGCAAGGCAAGAATATATGTGGTTCAGCCACTAGGGCTGAATCACGGCTCACAAAGCCCCAAGGGCTAAATCACTTTTATTATAAACTCTCTTTTTCATACTCAGTACAATGGTGGAGGCTCCTCTATAAAGGAGAAGAAATGATGATAATGGAAAGAGATAGAACATAGGAAATGATATCAATACTAGAGGATTTTTTTCTCCACTAATTCTTCTAGTAACGGTAAATCTTCAATAATAGGAAAGTACATCAATACTGGAGGATTTTCCTCCACTAATTCCTCTAGTAATTCTTCAACAAATAGAAATAGAAAACTTGGAGGATTTTTCTCCATTGATTCCTCTAGCAAGAGTTAATCTTCAATAATAAGAAACATCAATCATTGGAGGATTTTCTCCACTGATTCCTCCATTAAATCTTCAATACTCCCCCTCAAGTTAGAGCACGAATGCCTAACTTGCCATTGAGATGACGAGTAGTAACAAGTGTGAATGATGAGAGAGAAGAAAGAAGGCAATAAACAATGCTACCGAACACACCGACAGCCTAAACAAGTCAATAAAAACAGCCAGAGACACGGCAAAGGAGAAGAACAATGCTACCGAATAAACCGGCAGCCTAAACAAGTCAACAAAAAACTATCAGACACATGGCACATGGCAAAGGCTAAGAACAATGCTACCGAACACATCGGCAGCCCAAACAAGTCACAAATAGTACTGAGAAACCCTTAGCAAGTTGGTAACATTCCAGATGCTAAGGGAATACCCGAAAATAGGGGTCTAAACCTAGGAAGAGAAATTAGGCTCTGATACCATGTTGTAAATAATAAATATAAGTTGAAGAGAGAAATGAAACGAGTAGAATACACAGATATTACGTAGTTCAGCCACTAAGGCCTACATCCACGGCACAAAGAGCCCAAAGGGCTACATTACTCTTATAATAATCTCTCTCTTAATACACAATAAAATTGTGGAGGCTCTTCAAACCTCATATTTCTTAGATTTCGTGATGCGCGCGCCCCGCCTGGGGGGGGGGGGGGGGGGGGGTGGGGTTCATCAGTCAAGTATTTCAATTCTCTACACCCTCTATTAACATCGTTCAGCTTCGCCGAAGTAATCAACTTAGGCTTATCATCATTTGAGTGATGGTTGTGGTCTTTTCTCAGCCATAGGTAAAGTTTGTGGCAGATAACAGATTCAAAAACTAATTTCAGACCAAAAATAAAAAATAAAAATAAGAATTAGGATCCAAAGACATAAGTAGAAGTTGGTCGGAAAGTTTAGATGAATCTGGAGGCAAGGAAAGTGCAAATTCTGAAAGCCCAAGCGACCAAAGACAGTTGTAGAAAGAAAAATATAATTGCAGAAACAGAATTTGCACAGAGAGTGTCAGCCGGACCCTTTAGTGCCAAAGAAATCGATCCAAATGCAACAAATCAGCCAAAAAGCAGTAACCAAGGTATTTCCCAGCCAAAATGCATCACATAGGATGGATCTTGACCAACAAAGACAACTGAAAACCCTCCAAAAATCAGATTGAAACCAAAAGGGCCAAAATCCAGAAATTCTTTTGAAAACTGAAAAATCCACTCAAACAGCTTAAAAATAAATCAAAAATACAACCATAAATCCCAGAATATTCAAGGAATATAATCTGATGGTCGTAAGGTTTTTCTACCACCTTTCCAACATATATATATATATATATATATATACATATATACTGAAATAATAAAATTACAATAATGCCCCAAAGTAAACAAGTAAAACACTAAACACTCTAATAACAAAAACTGAACTTTGAACTCAGATATATGATGTGTTACCTGGACTCGCCGGTGACGGCAAGGGTGTCCGTGTCGACACGACACAACAAGGACACGGACACGTGATCTGTGTCGGATCCTTCAATTTGCAGTCAGACACGGCTGCTGTGGTCTCTCAGGTGGTTCGAAAAGAAAATATGAAAAGCTTGTAAAGTCTGGTTCAATTTTTAGGGTTTCCCCATTGAAGAAGGTTAAAGAAGATGATTGGTATTGCGCACCTGATTATCGGCTTGTTATTTGTGCCTGCCTTGCATGTGTTTGACGTGTCTGATATACATACATATATGGCAAGTTGGCAACGCATTTTTCAACACCCCACACGTAATTGAAATTTGTAGGTAGGAAATCCATGGTGGACAGAAAGCCACCTGTCATATAGAATCTCAAACAAATCTGATTATTATTTTTTTTAATAAATTGTCAAATTTACCCTTTATCTCTTAGAGTTATATATAAGTATGTGTGTGTGTATATATATATATATAAACAGGCCTGAACTCACAAAAACAAATGCCAATGTTACCTCGGTCAGATCAAATTTTTTATTTTTTTTTAAAGTGTTAAAGTATCAATTATAATATATATATATATATATATATATATCAATTGATGCATATATATTATAATTGATGCTTTAAGGGAGGCAGAGGGAAGTTGGCAATTTTTTCAAAAGAAAACACTTGATGGAGAGGGAAACGTTTTGGATACCAATTCCCCATAAAATATAATACTCCGTACTGCATATCTACTTTACAGACTTCCTATATTTATTATATATATATATTTGTAATAGAGCTAAATTACCTAATGCAATGAGTGATGCAGCTAATGCCTATTGCCTATTGTCCTAGTCTGTTAATTTACAGTTGTACAAATAAAAAGGAGTGTGGTAACATAAAAGTTAACTCAGTTACTTTTTCTTTATTTTTTATTATTTTTAAGAAAAGACATGACAAATGAGAAGTCCTCTCTGACTCCTCTTTATTGAAAATTGTTTAGTACTATGAAGTACTTAAAATAATTTAAAGTACTGGCTAATACTTTAAAGACATATTATTATTTAAAGCTATTCTTTAACAAACTTTTTGCTAAGAAGCACAAAAACCTTTAATAATAATCATGTATATAGTTGAATATTCTTTGTCCATGGAAGTGTCCCAGTGTCCGTGTCCAACTTTTGGACACTTATTAGCCAAGTCCCCGAGTCCACTAATGTTATAGATTAGCGAATCCGACCTCTAGACACATACCCGTGTCTGCGGGTAACATAGGAAATATGTAAAAGCTCAACCCAGTCCAGATGGCCAGGATTTGTAAATTGTACCAGTCAGAAAAAAAGATTATATAATTTGAAAACAGAACTTCTATTTAAACATCACTAATAATGATTATTAACAATAATAGACTAAGAACGAAACAAATGCATGCCATACATTCCCAAAAAAGTAAGGGTAATATTTTGATCCACGTCTGTGCATAACAAAGATGATTCCCGACCAACTCTAAAGTTCCTACTTCCACATTATTGAATTAATTTGTTCTTGTCATTCTCTATTAAAACCTATAAATTTTAATACTTCAACAAAATGTTTTTACAGTAAAATTTCAGAGGCCAACAGGAAGTCCATATAAACAATATGAAAGTAATCTAACCTGGCCTTCTGGTCCAGTGAATTCAGTATCAATAGCATCACGAGTAGTGCCACTGATTGGACTAACGATTGTTCTGTCCTCTCCGACTAAAGCATTCAAAATGCTACTTTTACCAACATTTGGTCGGCCAACAATTGCAATTGCAGGAACATAGTTTTCTTCATCATCAAAATTCTCTGGACCCTATGCATAAAGCATCAATAAATACATTTAAAGACTAATAATAGAATCGATACAAGAATAAAATCTAGACAGCATACACGCTCACAAAGACTATCAAAACATTGAAGTGCATGACTGTAGAAGTAGAACAACATAGTTCACTAAATTCTGAGCCTCTTCTAAAGAAAATATCTTGGGGGTTAAAAAACTATCAATCGATTAGATCAGTCCCATAAAACATGGACATATTAAACAAAGATGCCACAGATATTTGAAATATATAAACTACCAAAACTTAAATTGCTGTAACTTCATTGGTTCATTAAGTTTTCCTTTTTCTTTTATTTCTTCACTATGTGTCAGTATGTCAAATCTCCGAACACTGATACATGACTAGCAAAGCCCTGTAGTTTCCCAGAATCCATTCTATAATAGGTTTCTGGAAATCCATTTTTGGAAATTGTATGAAACCTCACAACATTTAAGGAAAATTCTAAAATTTAAAAAAGGAAATCCAAAATCGTAGTTGAATATTTAACCATTTGTCACTCAGTTTTGATGCATCCCCAACAGTACCAGCTCATTCTGACAAAGCATCTCATTTCTCTGTAGGTTTTCCACTAAACTAGGAACCTTTTTTCTTATATTTGTGAATTTAATCACGTCCACAGAGGTTATTAGGATTGTAATAAGATCTACTTATTAATATTTAGGAAAAAAATAAGATCTACAACAAATACTCCAGATCAAATCATATCATTGATGGAAAAATCATGAAATCCAAAATAAAATAAAATAAAAAAGAAAGTTTTTATGCTACAAATAAAAATAAAAATTTGAAGAAGACCAAAGCTTGAAAAAATTCAGAGTAGGTTATTAGAAAACAATTAGAAAAAAGCAAAAGAAGAGAAGCTCGGAGAATTAGAAGCTAAAAATTGATAAGTAGAACCCATAAAGTTTCAGGTTACATCGCTAGGACTCGTACTATTTGGGAGGAGATGTCAAATTATGATTCCTTCCGGTCTTGGAAGGATCCAGAGGATGCAATTTTATACGCGGGGATTGTGGAGAAGAATCAAGTCTTTCAATTTCTTGCCAGTTGATCAACGAGTTTGATTATGCTCGTGTTCATTTGTTGGGTTTGTCTTCATTCCCTACTCTGGAAGATTCATCCTCTATGTGTTGTCAGATGAGAACCGTCAGACTAGTCCATTAGGTTGCTTCTGCTTATCGTTCTACCATGGCAATTCGTGTCCCTCACTCTTCAGAAACCGTACCATTGCAGTCGGTTCAGAGTTCTAGCACCGGCCATCATCCTGGACGACAACATTGGTGGTGTGATCGTTGCAAAAAGCTTGGTCACATCAAATCTCGTTGTTATGCACTACATGGACGCACATCACAGCAGAAGCATATGTGGCCTCGATCCTCTACGCATTCAGTTTCAAAGATGTACTCCTTGTCGAGTCTTGATGACTCTGCTTCTTCATCCTCTGGCATAATTACCTTAACTGGAACTGATTTGGACAAGGTCAACCATTTCTTCAGTCAAATGGAGGCATCATCCTAGCCAACCTCCACTTATGCCCACTCAGGTACTTTTGTATCTACACACAGTGTATCTACATCTTCGACACCATCAATCACTGTTTCTGGTGTTTCAGACAATAGGACTGGTATGTCCACCTTCTTCCACTATTATAGTATCTCTCTAGCTATAGCAAAGTACGCCTCACGAATGGTTCTTTATCTTCCATTGCTAGAAAGGGTCACATATCGGTTACTCCTTCAACTTTGTCATATACACTTCATGTTCCACAACTTACTATTAATCTTATTTCAGTTAGTAATGTTACTAAACAATTAAGATGTAGTGTATTGCTTTTCCATCTCACTGTGTTTTTCAGGATCTGGTGTCGAAGCGAACGATTGGCAATGAGTGTGAAGTGGACATCCTATACCTGTTGGATGATTCTCCTTTGTCACCTTAAGCACACTCAGTTTCCTCTTCTAGTTCTGTTTCATCTAATAAAGCCCAGCTTATGAGCTGGCACTTGCATTTAGGATATTTCTTTCAGATATTTAACATTTTTTTCCTTCTTTTAGCAATGTGGTAGTCTCAGATTTATCCTGTGAGACGTGTCACCTAGCTAAACATTTTCATTCCAATTATCCTACTAGTAGTAATAAAACTACTTCAGCACTTTTTGTTCTTATTTATTCAAATGTGTGGAGGCCTTCCCTAATTATTTTTTGTCTTGGATTTCGATATTTTGTGTTGTTTATTGATTATCGTAGTCATGTTACATGGGTCTATGGGTTTATCTCATAATGACCAAAAAATGAGGCGTATAGTATTTTAAATTTTTTGTGACAATGGTTCAGACTCAGGATGGTTGTACCATTAATAAATAAAAAAAATTAATCATATATAATCATGCTAAGGAGTACATTTAAGGAGAGGTACAACGGTTATGTACAGAACTTGGTATTAAGCATTAGATCACTAATGTTCAAACCCCTCAATAGAATGATCGTTCAAAGAGAAACAATCGCCACATCCTTGACTCAGCTAGAGCCATCTGCATTGGCATGTTCCCTAGTTGTTTTGGGGAGATGCAGTTCATACATCTGTCAACATAATTAATCGGACCACTTTTAGGGTTCTTAACTTTGCAGCTTTACTCTCAATCCTACATCTGATTTAATCTCATTTTTTGTTCCCCACTAGTCTTTTGGGGTGTGTGCTTTGTTTAGCACTTGGGATAGACTCGTACAAAGCTTAACCCCACAGCATTGAAGTGTGTGTTTTGGGGGTATTCTCAATCTGAAGAAGGGGTTACAGGTGTTACAATCCTCCCAATCGATGGTTTATATCCATGGATGTCTCTTTCTTTGAGCATACACCATACTAGAATGGTTCATTTGGTTCTCAAAGTGATTGGTTCCATTGAATATGAATAACGATCACCTCCTTCTGTCTTCAACTCCTCTACCTTTTCCTGTTTCCTCATCTACTATTCCTCCTCGTTATACCCCTCCAGCAGGGGAAATTGTTCGTTTTTTTACCATCATACGTTTTCCTATCACAACCAACAAACTGTCCCTTCAGCTCCAGCTCTACCTACTCAAGTTGTTGTTCTGCTTGATGATCAACCTATTACTCTTCAGAACAACAAACTTTCTTGTACTTACCCTATTTCGAATTTTGTTTTTAATTGTGCTCTCACCCTCCTATTGGAGTTTTCTTATTTCTATTGTCTCAATTCCTCTTCCTTCTAGTGTTGCACTGCACTAGCACAGCCTCAGTTGCATGATGCTATCACTGAAGAACTACAAGCACTTGAGCAAGTTTTAACTTGGGACATGGTTCTGCTTCCTGTCGGAAGAGAGATTCATGGTTATCGTTCGGTGTTTGCAGTTAAGCATAATCCAGAGGGATCAGTTGCTCTTATAATGCCCAATTGGTTTGCAAGGGTTATACTCGTATCCAAAGCATAGATTGTCATGAGACTTTTGCCCCTATTGCCAAAATGATCACCATCCGTATATTATTTTTCATTGCAATGATTCATTCTTGGCCTCTATTTCAGTTAGATGTGAAGAATGTCTTTCTCAATGGTGACTTGCAAGAGGAGGTGAATATGGCTCCCCCTCAGGCCCTTGCTCATTCCAGGATGGTCTTTTGTCTTCGCCGCTCCCTATATGGCCTCAAGCAATCCCCTCGAGTTTGGAATGATTGCTTTGGCATTGCCATGCTCTAGTTTGTTTCCATCAGAGTTGTTAAGTGCTGAAATATGCACATTTCAACCCTAATCTTGAGTATATTAGAACCTTATTCTATCTTTATTTTCCTACTTTAGTCTTATTTTGTGTTTTTCCCCTTTTCAGGTGCATAAGGTTGAAATGAGCTAACTCAGATGTTTTAGAGCCTTGGGAAGGTCAACCAAAGTCTTAGCGAGATGTTGGAGCAAAAAGGAGGCTGAAGCTAAAAAATTTCCTCTTAGATCGATCGAGCCAAGTCATGATCGATCATGCATGATCGATCCAGCCAGAACCATTGATGGATCGAAGGCCTTATTTTTATCCAAATAAATGTCTTTTTTCCTTATCCAAATAAATATCTCCCATCATTTGTGATTGACCCAACCCATTCCATGATCGATCACAAACCTTGTCCTTATCTTCATAAATATCTCAAGCCTTTGTCCTTATTCACATAAATATCTTTCACCAACCCACGATCGATCGAACCTCATTCATGATTGATCGAACTTGCCTCAAAATATGTGAAAAACAGAATTGAAGCCTCAATTCAGGGGAGCTCGTGGTGCAATCATTTAGGATCCTAGTGCATGAGGTCTGACCAATTTGAGGTCACTAGAGCCACTTATATAAGGGCATTAGCACATTTTAGCAAAAGGGGGTTGGACATTTTGCAAGGATTAGATTAGAATTAGGATTTTTTGGGACATTCTCTCTCTACATTCATACACTCTCTCTAGGGTTTCAACCAAAGAAGAAGAAGATGAGCCAAAGCTTGGAGATGGATTGTGAAGCTACCTTGATGACATCTACCTTCTGCATAAGTGGCTAGTTCTTCACTTAGGGCTTGGATGAGCCCTAAGCTTGTGTAATTAAACCTTTGTCTTTCAATTTTGGGGATTATTAATTGTGATTAGTGCTATGATCTTGTGAATTCAAACTTAGTTGTACCAAGGTTTATATTGATAATTCTTTCTATTGATTCTCTATGTTGATTGCCTGTTGTCTTATGTGTAATTAATTGAGGATTAATCTCTACACTAAGTGTTTTTTGTAATTGTGCTTAGTGATGGCCATGCATGGTTCTTTTTGGATATAATTGCTAATTAGTTTGATAGGTTATGCTTAGTCTTGATGGGTTGTACTACACCTTAGAGTAATTGTAGTTAGGTAGACAATTCATTCTTGAATTTGATAGTCCATGCTTATTATTGCAATCTGTATTATCCTCTTGATTATTGATGTGTGCTTGTAGC